TATCCGTGATAAATGACTTTATTTTCCTCATCCCCTAGGCCTCTGCCAGCTGGACACAGGAAGTGATGCAGACATGGAGGCGATCGACCCGATGCTCTGCCGTTATCAGGGGCCGGGCGGTTCAATGCTGAGGCGGTACAGCCCCGATCCTCCTGAGTCCTACACAGGTGAGCGGTGCGGTCACGTGACCCCAGAGGCGTGACCCCAGAGATGTGACCCCTGAGACTCGAACCCTGGGACATGACCATGACCCCTGAGACGCGAACCCTGAGACATGACAATGACCTCTGAGACATGACCCCAGACATGATGCGGTCACATGACCCCTGAGACGCGACCCCTGAGACATGACCCCCAGACATGATGCGGTCACATGACCCCTGAGACATGACCCCAGACATGATGCAGTCACATGACCCCTGAGACACGACCCCAGACATGATGCGGTAACATGGCCCCTGAGACGCGACCCCAGACATGATGCGGTCACATAACCCCTGAGACGTGACCCCAGAGACATGACCCCAGACATGATGCGGTCACATGACCCCAGAGATGCCGAGTCATGTGTTTCTCCTCCTCAGACCCAAGGCTCGTCTGCAGCGAATCCTTCAGCAGGAACAGGGAGTTCTACACCTGTAGCTCCGCCCTCGAACCCTTCGATCACATGATGACGATGCTGCCTGCCGACACAGAGTGTGTGGAGGAGTGTGTGCGAGGAGAGTGTGTTCTGGGCTCCCCGACTTCATATATGGGTGAGAGCACTGCTTCTGCAAACTGTGATTACTCTCTAAACACACACACACGCACACTGTAATGTAATACAATTCTGTATATTTGACTAAGATAGTCTTTCCACCTCACTCGCTCAGTAAAGCATCATGGGATTGATTGCTAGGAAACGCATGAACGCAAGTCTCTTTAGATAAATGGGCGTGGCTTGTGTTCATCCCTCAGCTGGTGATTGGCTGATGAACGCTGTGTGTGACCCCTGTGTTCTCAGGAACGTTCGGGAAAGCGTGGCGTCCTCATCCCGGGGTCGTGCTTCAGGAGAACCCATACGCCGGCACTCAGCCGGATCCCGCCGGCACTCAGCCGGACCTCGACGTGTACGAGATGCCCTTCGACAGCAGGACGAACTTTCCCGCCTCGTAGCGGCACGTCATGTGACTTTACGTTCCTCCAATCAGGACGAGCGAAAACTAGACACGTTCTACCTCAGAAAGAGCTTCGGCTGAATGTAAATGATGACACGTTTGTACAGAAAGATGCATTTTATACAAAACTATATTTTGTAAATTAATTATTTTTCCTACTCTTTTCTGTCTTCTGTATGTACGGATCCTCTGAAGGGACATGATGATGGAGACGTCGATAACACTTTACAATGAGCTTCATTAGTTAATGCATTAACCATGAGCAGTACATCTGTTACTGGATTTATTAATATTTGTTAATAAAAATACATCGCTTCATGTTAGTTCAGAGCAGTAACTCATGTTCACAAATACAACCTTTGATATTAATCATGTATCAGTAAATGTTGAATTTAATATTAACTAAGATTAATAAATGCTGAAGTATTGATCATTCTTAGTGCATTTTAACTAATGAACCGAAGTGTAAAGTGTTATCATAACGTTTCTCAACACAGAGGCGTGTGTGTGTGTGTGTGTTTCCTCCCATCTCGTGTGTGTCTGTCAGATTGACCCCCCAGGGCCTCCGTAGTGATGTTGGATATATATGGAGAATCGGCAGGATGATGGGAGGAGTGTGTGAGAGGAGGGAGGAGTGTGTGTCCCGAGGGTTAATGTGTGTATCCAGGTCTGTTTATGATGATTATTCAGCTTTGGTTTAAGCACATGTTTACACACTCTAGTACACAATAAACACACTCCCATGAGCAGCTACACACGTGTGAACGCTTGCGTGATTTTTATCCTGTCTCTCTCTCACACACTGTGAGTCTCTCCTCGTCTGCTCTCCATCACACACACTACACGTGTAAGTGTGTTCAGATTCAGTCCAACGCCACGGTCATGGGTTCGGTTCCCAGGGAAAGCAGGAACTGATGAGGATGTGTGTGTGTGTGTAATGCAGTGGATGAAGCATCTGATAAACGCATGAATGTTAAACGAGAGAACGACTGGAATTCCACTTATTCTCCACTTCGCTTTCGGCTCCAGTAAAACTAGACCGGAAATCAGCTATTTCTTGGACCACCAGCGGATTTAGCCTGATCCCACATCAGCCGAGGAGCATCTGAACGTACGTGCGTGTGTGTGTGTGTGTGTGTGTGAGTGGCCGGCCATCGAATGCCTGCAACATCTGGCAGCAATGAGGAGAAATCGCAGTGTCTGGCAGCGAGATCACAGATCATGAGAAATCTATTTACTCTACTTAGTCACAGGATGGGGGGTGAACACAGGTCTGTGAGTGAGTGTGTGTTTGACTGTGAGTGTGAGAGTCTGAGTGGATGTGTGAGAGTGAAGCAGATCTGAGGTCAGTGGCCCCGTCTCTCACACACACCAGATGTTGAGGGACGTTTGATGGCCAGCCACACACAGATGTTCAGGATATAGTCTGTTTGATGTGTGTGTCTGTCTGATGTGTGTCTGATGTCTGGTGTGTGTCTGATGTCTGTCTGATGTGTGTCTGTGTGTGTGTCTGATGTGTGTCTGATGTCTGGTGTGTGTCTGATGTCTGGTGTGTGTCTGATGTGTGTCTGATGTCTGGTGTGTGTCTGATGTCTGTCTGTCTGATGTGTGTCTGATGTCTGGTGTGTGTCTGATGTCTGTCTGATGTCTGGTGTGTGTCTGATGTCTGTCTGTCTGTCTTGTGTCTGTCTGATGTGTGTATGTCTGTCTGATGTCTGTCTGTGTGTGCCTGTCTGTGTGTCTGAGGTCTGTCTGTCTGGTGTGTGTCAGATGTATGTCTGATGTCTGTCTGATGTGTGTCAGATGTGTGTGTGTCTGTCTGATGTGTGTCTGATGTCTGGTGTGTGTCTGTCTGATGTATGTCTGCCTGATGTGTGTGTCTGATGTCTGTCTGTCTGTGTCTGATGTCTGGTGTGTGTGTGTCTGATGTGTGTCTGTCTGATGTGTGTCAGATGTGTGTGTGTCTGTCTGATGTGTGTCTGTCTGATGTGTGTCTGATGTCTGGTGTGTGTCTGTCTGATGTATGTCTGCCTGATGTGTGTGTCTGATGTCTGTCTGTGTCTGATGTCTGGTGTGTGTGTGTCTGATGTGTGTCTGTCTGATGTGTGTCTGTCTGTGTCTGATGTCTGGTGTGTGTGTGTCTGATGTGTGTCTGTCTAATGTGTCTGATGTCTGTCTGATGTGTGTCTGGTGTGTGTCTGTCTGATGTCTGTCTGCCTGATGTGTGTGTCTGATGTCTGTCTGTCTGTGTGTCTGTCTGTCTGGTGTGTGTCTGTCTGATGTGTGTTTGGCTCTGCACACGCTGGCCCACCCTGAAGACGCTCGGCTCACTGGCGCTCCTCTGTTGGTTTATCGGAGCTCGGCCAACTCACATAAACCGTCACTTCTCTCGTCCCGCTTCCAAGCCAAACGAGCACATCCAAGAAGAAATCAGACTCCAGAAATAAAGAGCTGCCATCTCTCTCACACACACACACACACACTCTCATAACAGACTGGCTGATGTTTTCCAGACGCTCTGGAACAGCATTCAGAAACACCAACACCACCAGCATTCAGTTCTGTCCAGACGCCGAGGGTTATGTCTGAACGTGTGTGTGTGTGTGTGTGTGAGAGAGAGAGACAGCTCTGATCTAAATGTCTCTGTCAGAAGGTTCTTCTTTCTTCCCAGAATAATTCTGATTGCGATCAGAAACTGGAGCTAATGAGCTGTGATGACTCCGCCCCCTCAGGAGGACCAGCCAATCACAGCGCAGAGGAGGGTGAAGGGAAACTGCTGGTGAGTGAGAACTAAGCCGCAGATTTCTGAACTATGACAAGTTTACACACGTTACTACTGGAAAGTGTGTGTGTGAGAGTGTGAGTTTTAGGGGGTGTGTGTGTATGTATGTGAGCGTGTTGGATTGTGTATGAGAGAGAGTATGTGAGGGTGTTGGATTGTGTGCGAGTGTGTGTGTGTGTGTGGAGTATGTGAGCTTGTTGGAGTGTGTGCATGAGACTATGTGAGGGTGTGTGTGTAAGTATGTATGTAAGCGTGTTGGAGTGTGTGTATGTGAGAGAGAGTAAGCGAGCATGTTGAAGTGTGTGAGTATGTGTGTGTGAAGAACAAAAGGCCTGTAACTGGAGGATAAGGGTTCTCTAGCGCCACCCAGTGGAAAAGATTAAACACACGCATCTGTCCACTACAATAGAAAACTGTAAACTCTATTCTATGAAACATTATTCAATAATTGGAACATTAATGATCCTCCATAAACTATTAAACAGCAGTTTTCTGCATGGCCAGTGATTATCACTGAACTTATCTAGCGTATTTATTTCAAACTATTTTTTTTTCTTAAATATATATATATATATATATATCTACAAAGTTTTGAAAGAATTCTCTGTCAGTAAATGAGTGTGATCTGTTGTTGTTTGTGTAGTGCCCTCATTAGTGTGTTTACTTCACTGACTCCTAATCACTGCAGGCCTGATCAGAGGCGTCAGGAGCCGTGACCTTTGACCTGCCGTCACGTCTGTGCTGGTAATGAGCTGCTGATGCTGGAGGTCAGACTCCCTGCTAATGAACCCCCCGCTGATCAGGGGTCAGAGGTCAGGGGTCAGGCAGACGCTTCGCCGCTAACGAGTCTCTGTTTGATTACAGCTGGCCCTCACGAGTCCAGTGTCGGGCCTTCATCGCGGCGCAATTATCATTTAATTAATCATTTAATAATGAGAATGGGGAAATATTCCCTCGTCTCTGCGGCTAATCAGAAAATAATTGTATCATCAACTCTAGCTCGTGTTCACTTGAGTTTATTTGTGTGTTTTTAATTGTTTTAGAAAGAAACTGCAAATAAATCAAATAAATTGATTTATTAATTCAAAATAAATTCATTTCCAAAACACAAGAAAGAAAAAGAAAAAGTGTTTTTGTAAATCACAATGACTTCATATAACTTTGGCATATATAAACTATAGCATAATTTTGACTTTATCTCAGTTTCACCATCATTATTTTAACATGGAGCCGGTTGTGTTGGTCAGGAGAGTAGCGCCACCGTGTGGACGTGATCAATAACCCCTCGGACACACTCCTTTAATCGAGAGGTTCTCGGTCTTGTGTTCTCCGATGGACAGAGGAAGCGGATTGGCTTCGGTGACTGCCGACAGAGGCGCGAGTGCTACTCAGTGTCTGTGAGGTAACGTGTGCGCTCAGAGGTTAGCATGGTAGCGGTCGCGGCTCTCGAAGTCCCTGAAGGAGAACCTGGCGTCCGTCTTGGTGTGTGGGATCCTCCCGAAGGGGGCGTGGTCTCGGAAGCAGCTGTCAAACACCTCGTCAACCACTAGCTCCGCCTCCTCCCTGCTCACCTTACGCACCGCCAGGATGGAGCGCAGCGCTCGACTCCGCACACACTCCTGCACACACAGTCACATGACCCTTAGAGACAGTCACATGACCCTTCCGGACACACGGTCACATGACGTTACCTGATGGTGTTGTCTGAGGCCGAAGTTGAATCTGGAGACCTCGTTGAGGAAGGAACAGTCTCCGCTCAGATTGGCGGCCCGGATCTGCAGGAGCGAGAGTGAACACACACACACACAGTTAGTGACAAAACCTGTACCGAGTTTCGTACCATTCTGATGAAGTAGAAAACAAAAAAAACAAATAAAAAATGTTTCGCTCAAAAATGAACAAGAGTGACAATGAACACACACTCCTCTGAGCAGGCCAGGTGTGCAGGAAAGGACAGTAACCACACACACACACACACCTCTGAGCAGGCCAGGTGTCTGGGGTTGCTGAACCAGTCGACTCGCGCGCGGCAGTGGTCGAAGGCGTGGATTAGCTCATGCGTGACGACGCGGTTCATGTGAGCCTGCTGGTGGATGTTGTTCTGGCACAGGACGATCTGCACACACACACACACACACACGGTCAGACACACACCAGCTCATGTGTTCAGCTCACACAGCTTCCTCACACACACCTGAGAGGTGGCGGCGTCGAACCCGCCGCTAACCGTCCCGTCACAGTCCTCACACGAGAAGTGCCGGTCTTTATGAACCGCACTGAGGAGACACACACACACACACACACACATCAGTCACGTGATGAAGAGGACGAAGGTGAACATGATGAAGATGCCCTTACCAGCCGGAGCTTCTCATCGCGGCCAACAGGAGCTTAGCATACGGGCCTGAGAGAGAGAGAGAGAGAGGTAATTATATAATTATAAGATAAAAAGTCACAATTATAACATACCAAGTCATTATGAAATAAAAAATCTTAAATATGACACTAATTATGATATAAAATAAAAACTGGATTATGACAGTAATAATTCTGACATAATGAGACAAAAATCTGAAATTATGACGACAGAAATTAAATAATTGTTTAAAGTAATGAAATAAACAATACGAGATAAACAGACAAAATCAAGATCACGTGGAAACTATGACGTATATCATACATTTTAGGCTTAATCAAAAAAGAAATGACTGTCATAATTTCTTTATGTCATATTTCTCATGTGGCTTCCATGATCATATAGTTTATCTTGAACATGACATGAATATTGTTCGATCATAAACCCCAGAAACAACATTGAAGCAGGTGAGCGAGCGCCGCGTGCACGCGCACAGGCGCTGATGTGCCCTTACTAGTGTCCATGGCGAACTGCAGCATGAGCTGACACTTGTGCTTGAAGGTGAAGAGGCTCTCCCCGATCGAGCCCTGCTTGTACTTGCTGCCGCTCCGCTCGGGATATAGACTGTAGCCATAGTTCTCGTCCTTCGCGTCACTATCGCGCTCTTTCTCTTCTTTAGCGACACTCTCAGCCATTGCTTGGCGCTGCGCGTGTACGCGAAGGTCACGCGAGAGTCTCTGAGTCACGTGATTGAAAGCGAGGATTAACGTATTTTAGTTATTAACGCTGATGGATTTCGCTTAATCTATTTAGTGTAGACTTTTTATTATTATTGTTTTCGTTTCGCAGTGAGACATCACGCGTGCTCTCAAAATAAGATGCAGTCAAGTGTTTTGGGTTTTTTTTTCAAAATAAAAGCCCCAATTCCACTGTCACGTATTGTATAAAAATATATGAGTGAATATAGAATCAATATCACTATATATAATTATATATGTCCGAAAATATATTACATATTTTTATTATAAACAACTTATATATTGAAATATGTACGAAGTTGAAATAATGTGGTTTCAACAGAAGCAAATACCATTGATTATCAGCCTCGTAGCTCACGGTACGGTTGTCTTTTTTAAAAGTTTAAAAGGTATAGTTGACCACAATTATCTTTATTTTAGAAATTTATTTTACTTCCGGGACTTTACTGTTGCTTTTTGTCGGCGCCAACAACCATAGATATCCATAATAAAGGCTAGATGTCTCGTCCGCGCTGGAGGTCGACGTCCGCACCTGGCGGCCATCTTGTCACAGGCAGCTCGCTCACTCGTAACCTTCTGTTTTAATGGTGCATGTGCTTTTTAAATAACCATAACTTGCTCAATTTTCTACCGATTTTCAAACGGTTTGGTTTGTTCTAAACGTCAGAGATGTAGTTAAGGCACTCTATACTTATAAATAAATAATCATCGAGAATTATAGCCATATGTCCATGGTAAACAATGGAGTAAAACATCTCTGGAAAAGTTCACTTTTGTTTAGTAGAAATATATCCTTATATCTCGCGTCTAAACGCCCTCCTGTGGTGAATTTTGTGCATTACACTGCTGGCATTGATTAAAATCATTTGATAAAACATCTGGTAAACATGTCGTTGTAAGCCTCAAACCGTATCCACTTTATACGTATTCACTTAATCCTGTAATTGTCTGTGGGCACAGATGACTAATGATGATCCTAATTTTTATTGTTTATAAATGTTATATCACTGTCTTCATTACAATTTTGTCTATACATTTATGTTTTTTATTTTATTTTATTTTGGGGGTATTTTTGAATTTATTTACTTCAAAAAGTACCATATTGTCAATGTAAATTATTTCTATTTAAATTACTATGTAGTTTTATTTTTTTATTTTTTTTTAACTACATGAAAATATCATTCCAATAAGTTCTTAGAGCTAAAACCTAAAGATAAAGTGACTTTGCCGTCACCTGGTGTCTTATTTTGGCTTATTTTAAAATGCTCTAAATTACAGTTTTTCCCATTCATTTCTATGGGTGCCCATTTTTGACCCAAATACAAGATTACAGAGTTTCTTTTTCACCCACTTAACATTGTAGAATTGAGTCAAAAAATTGTGTGTGTTTAGGAGGCAAACGTAGGAGAAGTAGCCAAGTCTTGTACCGCTCACATCAAGGGAAGTATTTTTTTTAAAATAAATCAAAACTATTTTGCCCACATTTGTCCAGAAAACGGGTTTCAGGGTTAAGACGAACATTTGTTTTTATCTGGACGCCCTCCTGTGGTGAACTGTGTGAATTACACTGCTGTCATTTTACCCATAAACATTTAAAGATTTGAGTCAGCGACGTAGATAAATTGACAGTGCAAGAATTCTGGTGTGTGTTCAAGTGAAATGAAAAAAAAAATGAATTCAAATAAATATTATTCTCTCCACAAGCCAAAGGTAACGTTAAGTTAGAGTATAATTTAATATTGAACCAAACATGTATGACGAGTCACGCAGGTCCTGTGCTCCTCCGCAGCGGTAAGACCAGAACCAGTATAAAATAGTCCGAATATAAACACTTATTATAGGTGTACCACAGTGATTCAGGATAAGACAAAGCACGATTTGGACAACTGATCCATGTACTCGTTCATTATATAACCTTTGAACATTTTGAACACAAAAAGTTAAGCACTAAAACTTTAAAACAAAACAACTTAGCCAGTCGCCCTCCTGTGGTGAATTGTGTGAATTACACTGCAGCAACTTATTTCTACAGCTGTTAAAGGAGAACTCCGGTGCAAAATGAATTACACATTGTTACCAAGTCAACCGTTATCTGAGATTTGTTTTCATGATTGCCGAATATAAATAGTTTTATCTCTAAAAACAGTTAAGCCTATAATGCTAGTATAACGCTAGTATATAGGGCATAGAGTAATGATAATTAAAAATAGCTTGTTATTACCACGCGATTTTTGTCATGGATCGGCGTTCGTAGATCGACTGGTAGAGACTATTTTTCAAAGATGGCTTCTTCCAGTATTCGCGAAGTTGACTGTGTGTATAAAATTTCTTCTTGTTAAACTGTTTGGACACTGACAAAGTTCTCAATGCTTCGGTTTGAATGTAGGGACCCTTATTATGTTATCGTGTTAGTGTGGGGCTATTTTGAGCCTTGTTAGTGGTAATAACAAGCGATTTTTATTTGTCATTACTCTATGCCCTATATACTAGCGTTATACTAGTGTTATAGGCTAAACTGTTTTTAGAGATAAAACTATTTACATTTGGCAATCATGAAAACAAATCTAAGATAACGGTTGACTAGGTAGCAATGTGTAATTAGACCAAAGGTTCATTTTGTGCCGGAGTTGTCCTTTAATGCAGTCAGAGGAAAACTTTGAGTTACAATATTTTGTAATATTTAATAAATTGTTGGTTGCCATGTGATGCAGTAAAACATCTGGCAAATTACCCTTCTTATTTTCTATAAATATATTTTACATCTGTGATATCCTTTTTAAAGTATTTAAAATTGAGTTTTTAAATGGAGTTTAATCGCCCTCCTGTGGTGAACCGTGTGAATTACACTGCTGCACCGTATTCAGAGCGCCAGAGGAAAACTTTGCACTAAATTACTTTAAGTCAAGTCAAGTCACATTTATTTATATAGCGCTTTTCACAATACAGATTGTATCAAAGCAGCTTCACAGTGATAACATGTAAGTAGCACAACACAGATCAACAACATTGCTAAACACTAAATAACCCCAACTGAGCAAGCTCAAAGCAAGCCAAAAGCAAGGCGACAGTGGCAAGGAACCAAACTCCATCAGATTGGATGGAGAAAAAACCTGGAGAACCCAGGCTCAGTCGGGGGCCAGTTCTCCTCTGGCTTACATTCATATTGTTTAACTATAAATATTAAATATAAATATTGTTTATGAATCAAACGGCGCCTTTACATTATTTTCACATTATTTGATAAATTATTATTTTAACGTGAGATAGTAAAATATCTGCAAAAGTTCACTTTTGTTCAGTAGAAATATATTCTTATATCTGTAATATACATTAAAGACTCGCGTCTTACATCATAGACATATACACTATGGTCTTACATCAGGTTGCCTGTGACAAGATGGCCGCCTGTGATGACGATAGAGACTCCGCCGTAAGACATCTAGCCTTTATTATGGATATCTATGCCAACAACACGCGCGAGCCCGTACGTAAGACGTTTCTTTGTTCGCGCATGCGCATAGAGGAGGAGTTTGCGATGTCATGCCGCTAAACACAAACTATTGATCAAAACTCTTCATTATTATCATCATCTTCATCACAGGTATGACACGCACATATGGCTCTGCTCTTTACTGCTGTTAAAAGGGTTATTTTAAAAAAAGGGTTATTTGATCTTCTTTACACGGGCGTTAATAAAACGTTTGGCGGCCAGTAACACATTTTACATGCGTGTTAACATGACATTAACCCGTGTTTTACTGAAACACATCTCTGTTTATGTGTGTAGATGTACTTTAGCTGATGTTCGGGATTGTCTGATTTATTATGATATGGTTTATTTAGGTCCATAATTTCTCGACGAATCGCGTTGTAATCTGTGGTAACGTTAAGGGTCTTCCTAAGGGCGACGTTGTTGTCAGTTTCCTTCTCAACAGTTACCATGGTAACCGTGGCTTCCGTCTACACACCATAGTTACTACATACATTTGTTGTTTTGACTGTAAAATCAGCGAATATTATCATGGAAATGCAGTCATCATCATTGCTGTTGCTCACACATAATAAACATCGAGAAACATCCAGTTTTTATGTTAAATTCATAATATATCATTACTTATATAAATTAAATTCATAATTAGTCATTACTTCAAGGAGCTCATTGTTTCTATTACATTGTATTGCAAGTGTCTTTGCGTACATGTCTGAATCTGAAATGCACAAGGATTCATGTATAACTTTGATGAAAGGTTTTGGTCCACTTCAAATGTTGCCGACTGTACACACACACATATATAGACGTGTGTGGAAGCCAGACAGAGCCGAAGTGTGTTGAGGTGTTGAACTGTTGCAGGTTCGTCTCGTGATGTCGGGGAATAAAGCCGTGGAGCTGCAGATCCAGATGCGGCAGAACGCAGAAGACCTGCAGAGCTTCATGAAGGATCTGGACTCCTGGGAGGAGGAGATGAAGCAGAAGGACGAGCAGATCCGCGCCGGACACACCGGCCTCACACCGGTAACACTCTCACACACTCTCACACCTGTGACCGAGACCGGCTGTGTGTCCCACTTAAAAAGATTGGATTTATTTCAGAAAACACTCCCGCCGGTGAGGAACAAAGACTATAAAAAGACGAAGAAGAGGGTGAGACGCCAGGCTAGCGGCGACGGCGCTCTGACGGATCAGACGCGAACGCAGCGGATTAAATCCTACGATTATCAAGCCTGGGACAAGTTTGATGTGGTAATGCCATCTTCGGGTAAACTTATTACTGTGTGAAAGTACTGCGTCTTTTATTGCAAGTGTGTAACGTAGTAATGCATTAAACATCAAAGCCTGTAACACACTTTCGTAAATACGTTACTTTACTCGTTACATAGCAGAAGTAATCTGATTACGTGACGCACGTCATGTGTGATGTGTCAGCCCATCGCTGTTCAACAGTGAGCGTTGTGTGTGTGTGTGTGTGCAGGAGAAGACTCTGGAGCGCATGGATGAGGAGGAGAGCCCGGCACAGTCCAACGAGTCGGACACCGAGGGGCCGCTGGGGGACCGAGACCTGGCGCTCGCTGAGAAGGAGAAGGTGGGTGCACGCATCATCGTACACGCGTGTGTGTGATGTTCTGCTTTCATG